TCCCGGACCCCAGCCCTGGGCCCCTCCCCCATCTCAGGCCCTCCTCCTTCGAAGATGGCCTTGGGCTCAGGGCTGCTCACTCCCGGGAGTGGCCAACACTTACCCCACGGTGCCTCTGCCACCCACGGTAGGGAGATGCCCACTGCCTAGAGGACAACTGTGGGCCCGCTGACAGCCCATCAGAGTCTCTGATCGCATTTGGGGTGCTGTGCGGAGGGGCAGTTTCTGTCCTGTTCTTTCACTGAAACACGAACAACAAGGAAGCCCGCTTTCTAAGCACTGAGTTTACTCTCCATGCCTGCTCACTGCCAGCCCATGTCTGGGATGGGCACAAGAGTCTCCATATTAAGCGTCTCCATTATTAATGCCATCTGCTTTCCTGGAAGAGGAAAAACAACAGACACGTTTGCAAGACCGCACTTCCGAAGGATGCACAATGCGCCCTCTTCCTCAAGCGACCTCCAGTGACTTCTGCTGGGGCCAACCTCGTCCCCTGATGCCCTTCAGCCGCGTCCAGCCCAGCCCTGGTGTTATGGGTTGAATTCACACACACGCCAAATTCCTATGGTGGACCCCTAGTGCCTCAGATGTGATGTGGTTGGAAGGTGGGGTCTTTACAGCGTAATCAGCTTAAATAAGGTCATTGGGGGGGTCCCTAATCCAGCAGGACTGGTGTCCTTGTAAAAAGGGGAGACGTGGACAGAGACACGCATAGAGGGAGGTGATGTGAAGGGACACAGGGAGAAGACAGCCGCCTCCAAGCCAAGGAGCGGGGCCCGGACAGATCACAGCCTCAGGAGGAACCCACCCTGCCGGCACCTGGAATTCGGGCTTCCAGCCTCCGGGACTGTGAGCTGAGACATTCCTGTTGGTGAGCCCCCAAGTCTGAGGCCCTTCGGCAGGCAGCCCCAGCAAACTGACAACCAGGTCCCTCCTCGCTGGTCCCGTGGGGAATGGGCCTTGTAATGACTCGGAAACTCCCCTCTTGACCTTTGTGAGAATGACCAACAGGGAGACGCTCCATCCCAGCTCACAGTGTCCCCTTCCCTCCCCTTCCCAACCTGACACAACCTCTCCCAGGTGAGCCCTCGCCCCCAGTGCAGGTCCATGGACACACACACACACAGGGAGTACCCCAGCTTTGTCCTGTACCCCAACACCTTACTGATATGGGAAAGTAGTTGCAGAATTCATGTTGCAGATGGTAGGGTAGGTGGCTCCTCCCCGGGACGCCTGACTGCCCTCTAAGCTGATGGGGGAGAAGGAGTTCACGGATTTGAGGAGGCAGAACCGTGTGCCAGATGGACTTGGGCGCTAGGAGAGAGTTCCGGGTGAGAACTGATGTCAGTCAGATGGTGGCAGGGAACAGCCTTAATAAATATTGATGAAGAACCGATGAATGAATGGATTAATGCGCCAAGTGTCACTCCCGGCCCGTGTTGTCTGCCCTGCGGGACACAGCAGGTTTATAATGAGCTACACAGAGAGGCTGCCGACCTGCTCCACGAATGTCGACCTAATTCAGTCTTCGCAGAAGGCGATTATTTCACAAGGCTGGGGCGCAGGTGGTGGTGGGGGCACACACACTGCCTTCCCTGGGTCCCCAAAGAGGAGAAGGCACTGGAAAAGCCAGGCAGGGCTGATGAGGGGTGAGAAGAGGCCCAGGACACTGTGAGCCTGGCTTGTGAAGGCTGGGGCAGTGACAACAGGCTGATGGGGGGAGGGGAGGGGGTGTTTTCATGGAAAAGGAAAGCATGAGGGAAAGGAAGGGGGAAGAAAGAGAGAAAACAGTAAAAAGCCTCCCTGTCCCCCACCTGCCAGGTCCCTGTGACACCCTCGGTGATGGTGCCTTTGACTCTATGCAAATACAGGCAAATACGACTGGGGCAGTCATATTTATCTTAAGTATAGGAGTGAATCCTTTTGGAAATTCTACTTTGCAGGTGGGGTGGGGGTCGAGGGAGGGGTATCTCACCCCCACCCTCTGTGTGCCCTTCTCCTAGCTCTGGTGAGCACCCCCACCTCAGCTGCCTCCTGCATGCTCCCTCCTGGGGATGGAGCCTGAGACCCAGCAACCTCTTGGTTCATGGGTTGATGCTCAACTGCTAAGCCACTAAGCCACACCCCCCAGGCTCGATTCGTTTATTTGCATGTGTGTGTGTGTATGTGTGTGCACGCGCACCCCATGTCTGGACAGCTCCAAGGACTGGGGTCCACAATTGAGCCCCTGCTGACCAGGATGTTCCCCTGACCCTAATCCTGACAGCCTCAGCCCACTGCACCCCTCCCCCCCAGCTCCTCTCCTCGAACCCCAGGCTACCTGAGGGCACACCATGTGAGTCTCCTGGTGCCCCACTCTGACTCCTAGTGACTGTAAGACACCCGGGTCCCCTGCACCCCGTCCCAGGGCCCGCTCAGCACCCTCATCAGGCAGGAGCTGAAAAGGTGTGTGTCCAGTAAGAGGGGCTGGTGGTCACACGCTGCTCAGATGCTGGCAGGGAAGGGTCACAGTCCCTGAGTTACCCTCAGGCCTGAGGAGGGGGCCCAGGATACCCTCCCCCCCTCCTCGGCTGGGGGACCAGTGCCCACACTGACACCCCAGAAGCCTGGTTCTCACCCAGGAGAGTTCGCCCTGGGCGGAGGGAGGGGGTGGGACTGGGGGGGGGGAACGGGGGGGGGGGGGCGTTGGCAGCCCGGACAGTTTTAGCATCTAGGATGCTGCTCAGCATCTTACAGCGCCCGGGGCGGGCTCCTCCACAAAGAATGACCAGCCCCAAGGTCAGCAGGGCCCGGCTAAGAACCCCCTAGACCCTGACCCTGGGCACTGGGCACTATGGCACCCACCCGTGGAAGGTGAGGAGGCTCCTCTCAGGGACCTGGGACCTGCTATGCGCTGGGCCCAGAGATACAGGGATGAAGGTTGTAGGGTCGGCCCGTCCAGGGCTCTCGGCCTGAGGGGACAGGGAACAGGTCACAAAGGACTGCAGTCCTGGAGGGGCGGCTGAGCGGAGGAGCCGGGTCATAGGGGTGGGGAGGGCACTGCGACCCCCCTTCTCCAGGCGGGTGGGGGTACCAGGGAGGAGAGCTGGGCGGGCAGCCCCCAGGCGGCGGCGGAGCGGAGACAGCCGGTCCCAGCCAGCTGTCCCAGCAGCGGCCTCGGGGATCAGGTTGCAGGGGTGTCGGGCGGGGCCTGGGGTGGGGAGCGGGGAGGCGGCCTCGGGTTGGCTGGGGGCAGGGGGCGGGCCCTCGCTGGAGGGTGACGTGGGAGCGCCCGAGGTCGGGTTCCCACCCCCACCTGCCACCACCCCAGGTTACAGTGTGGTTGGTGTCTGGGGGTGCAGCCAAAGGGATTCAGGAGCCCAAGCCCTCCCGCCGCCCGCTCAGGGCAGGGCCGCCGCTGGAACGTTCGGTTAAGAAACCGTAAAACCTGCCGTAGGCGGCGAGCCCCACTGGCCCTCTGGTTCCCTCGGGCGGAAGGAGCAGCTGATGCCCGTGTGCGACCGCCCTGGGCTGTCCAGTCCATAGAGCCCCCTTCTCCCCCTCCCCCTCCCTTGGAGAGATCTGGGGGAGGGGAGCCGGCTGGAATTCAGCCCCTTGCCTAAGGGGACCCAGCGCCTCTGTCCCAGGCACAGCCAGATGGTGGCCAGCTCCGCCCAGCTCAGTTCCAGACCTGCCTTTTGGGGCACCTCCCAACTGCTGGTCCATTTCATGGGTGAGGACACGGAGGCCGGGTGGGGAGCTGCCCCAGGTCAGGACTAGTAAGAACCAGGTCTCACCGGGGCCTGCCCAGTGCACGTCTCCGATCCCGCCATCCCACCCGCTGAGGGCCTGGCACGTGAGGGGCCGCAGAGGACAGGGAAGATGGCAGCAACGGGTGCGATCTGGCCTGGAGGCCAGCGTGTCTGCAGGAAACCCAGGGCAGCCAGCTCCCGATGCTCTGCCTTGGCCGTGACTTTTAGGAGTGACCTTGAGGGGCCAGAACACTATGAACTCAGGGAGTAGCACTTCCATTGCGCAGATGGGGAGACTGAGGCCTCCAGAGCTGCCCCAGGTCACAGAGCCGGGAAGCGAGGCTGAGAGCGGCACCCGCAGTCGGCTGATCGCTAAGTCCTGTTCTCTGCCTTGCAGAGCTGCCTCCCGTCACAAAGGGGATGGGTCTCTGGCCCCCACCTCTCCTGAGTGCTGGTGTCCCCTCCTCCATCGCCCGCACCCCGCACCTCACAGCGGGACCTTCAGCCCCACGACCAGCAGCATCCTCTCAAGGAAACAGAGGTCAGAGGCGCCTGGAGCCCAAGGAGGATGAGGTCAGACCATTACCGGCGGGTGCAGATGCTCAATAATTCATGGGCTGCTGTGAGCCAGCGCTGCAGCTTCCGGCGGGTCCGGTGCAGACGGCAGACAGGAAACCGTCTGGTCACCAGCACCTGGGGGGACCCAGCATGTCCCCCCAGGGCTAGAATAAGTGATCAGCTTGGTGAGAAGGGGGCTGCGGGCTGACGGACCCTTCCTAGCTGCGTGACCGCAGGCCAGTCACTTAGCCGATCTGCTTCAGGCTCTTCTATAGGTTGGGAAGGTCCCTGAATGAGTGGGAGCCACGGGTCTAACCAAATCCTGGGAGCGGCACTGAGCATGTCCTCCTGACCCAGGGGAGGTACTGACCACCCCCGGCCCCAGGACGCCCTCCCAGGAGCCCAGTATTTCACCCAGCGGCGCCCCTCCCCCCAGCACGCCAGGCCGCAGCAGGACTAAGATAAAGCACCCCCCCTTGTGCCCCATCCCTACATTCCCAGGCCTTGTGTGTTGGGTGGGTGAGAGGGCACCGGTCTGGGGCACTGGGCTGGTTTGGGAGACCTGGTTTCCCCTCTTAGAATAAATTCCCAACCAAGAAAAAAGTTACTTGGAATCAAACATCCTTTCTTGGTCTAGGAGGCAAGGAGAACGTTAAAAATATATATTCAGAAAGCCCAGAATATTCTTAACGAACACACAGGGATTCCTGGTAGCAATTCCTCACAAACAGAGAGGAATAAGGTCGTTTAATTCCGAGCAGGTACAAAGTCCAAACTACTCTGCTTTGAGCTGGAGCTCGACAGTGGCTGTGAGGTTTACCCAGGTGCCGGCCTGTGCCTGCCTGCGGCGGGTTCGGGCCTGTGCCGGCGTCCTTCCCTCCCAGGCTTGTTTGCGATGCAGCTGGACCGCTTTGCTATCTTCTCCACTCGGCCAGGGGTGTGCCTGAGGCCGGGCAGGCTGCACCCCTCCCTGCGCCTCCCCACAGGCCCCCAGGGGATGGGGACTAGGAACAAACCCACATTCACTGCAGGCTGCCTACCCCTGGCCGCCTGGCACGGCGAAGGGCTCACGTGATACCATCACCTCGAAAAGCAGGACCGTCCCTTTGTTCACCGTAAGGGATCCTGGGGCCACTAACCTAGATCAGGAGAAGTCTGAGGTCCAGAGCTCCCCCTTCTCTTCCATCAGAGGGAGGTTACACTCCACTCTTGGAACTGACAACCCGGTACAACGGATGGTAAATGGGGTGTGTGTGTGTGTGGTGGGGGGGGGTTATCACACTTGGGGGGCAGCCCTACTCTCATCTGCTGGGCCTGCTCACCCAACGCCTCTCTGGGGAGACTCCGGGGTCAAGGCACAGGTGCAGGCAGCAGGGGGCAGCACTGGAGCTGTGGGCCTGACTGCAGGGTGACCTCCCCTGCTCTGGTCCTGGCCCTCACACGGCCCGAGGTGATGCTGGGGTGAGAACTGCACCCGGGGGCACACCTGGGGAGGCCCCTCTTGGACGAGCCTGCTGTCAGGTACCAGAGAGCAGGACAAGGCCAGAGAGACGATGCTGTCCCCACAAATCCGGAGCCGTGCACCTCCCGTCCTTGGTGCCAGGATCACGCAGGCCCCGCGGACATCCCCACTTCCCCGGGGGGCGTCAGGATCCTCTGGGCATCCTGGGTGAGGAGCGCAGCACCAGCACATGGAGGTACCTGCCCAGGGTGAGGTAGGCACCTTTCCCCTGCCCATCAGGAAATGGCAGTGTTCAGCCCAGATGCCACTTATCTGAGAGGCCTCCCCCAGTCCCACAGGTCTGTCCTGGAAGAGGCCTAGACCCCCGTCTGCGTGGCCCAGGACTGTCAACTGGTCCCCGAGAATGCAGCTCCAGCCCCACCTTGTGTCTCCATGGGACCCAGGTCATCGAAGGTGAGGAAGGCAGGTCGTGGAGTGAAGCGCGGCCGAGGCTCAGGTCCAGGGCCCTCAGGCCACAGAGGCGCAGCTGTCCAGGCTCGAATGAGCCCTGCCCCAGCTCGCGGCCTTCCACGGTTCACTCGGTGATGGCCCCGGGAAGAAAGGCAAGGGGCAGCTCCGCCAGGGTGTGGCTCCAAAGACTCACGGAGCTTCGCCTCGATTCACCGCGTGCCGAGGGACAGGCTGTTGCTGGACACCAGCAAGATGGCCAGGGAGGCCCACAGTGTGCAGACAGGGCCATCTGAGGGTGGCCCCTGCAGAGCCACCGCACGAGGACACGGGCTGTGATGTGGGGGAGGGTGTCACAGGGGGATGGAGGCAGGCTGGTCTGCAGACAGCTCCTGTGGCCTCAGTCACTTGGGGACCAGGAGAGGCTGGGCAGGGCAGGTAGGGATGGCCCTCGAGCCCCAGCCCTAAGCCTCGGGTTTCACAGTCCCCCCCACTCCCCTACCCGCCCGCCACCCCACTTGGTCCACTGCTCCAGATCGGTGGCCTCCTGGCCCTCCCAGCTCCAGTGACCAAGGTGGGAAAGGTGCAGGGCCCTGCCAGCCAGGACAGAGGACTGAGGGCATGAGGACGGCGTGCAGTCCAGGCCGCAGGGCGTCTACCATCTCGTTTTATTTTGCGGGGACTGAGCCTAAAGTAACCAGAAAGAACAACAGTCAAAGGGGACCCCACTGCTCGGGGCACAAGTGCTGGTTTTTACTAAAAAAAAGCATTGTGCGTCCCCGGGGGAGGGAGGGGGGATGAGGGGCTGGTGCAGTCTGACATAGGAGAGGCTCGGGCGAAGGTCCATTCCTCTCTTCCGGCCACCTTTCTCTCCCTCCCAACAGGACATTTTTTTCCTACAACCAGTGTCAGAAAATAGCTTCTGGCTCGTCAGGGAGAGACATTCCCAGGCCTGGGAGGGGCGGGCTTGGCAGTCCCCTCGCGAGGCCATGACCCGTGTCCAAGGGTCAGGACACTGCTGCTTGTCTGCACCCCGGGCCCTGGGCCCGCCGGCCGTCCCAGGGCCCTGGAAGTCGGGGTCCGGAGAAAGCCTGCCTGGTCCTGGGGAGGCCGTGTCCTGGGGGGGCCATGTCGTGGGGGGGCTGTGTCCTGGGGAGGCCGTGTCCTGGGGAGGCTGTGTAGGCTCTCGATCAGTTTGCTGACCTCAAGTAGGGGGCAGGAGAGCTAACCCCCAACTTTCCCCTACGGCCGCGTCAAACCTTAAAAAGGGAACAGTTCTGGGATTTGGACTCTGGAAAGGAGAATGGCCTGCCCACCTTCAGGGGCAGCCACGGGGGTGCCAGGGAGCTGGTGCGGAGGGCTTCACCGTAGGGGCCTGAGCAAACTGGCGCTTGAACAATCCCTGCCCAGGAGTGAACCCAACCAGAACGTGGCCCCACCCTTCCCACCTTTGTGAACCCACCTGGTCAAGTGGCCTAAGAGCACGGAGCAGAGTGAGGCTCCACCTGTGCCCTAAAGGATCTGGACCCCCCGTCCCCACTGAGGGGCTGAGGGTAGCCCATCTTCCCTGGCACGCCCTCCCTTACCAGCACCCTCTGCAGGGTGCCTGCTGGTGGGCCACCTCCCGGCTCGGTCCCCACGTACGGCCAGTGGAGGGGGACCCGGAGGAAAAGTGTCCGATTCCAGACGAGCTCGGATGATGGACCAGCCCCCGGACAGGAGCTGGCCCGGTTCACTGTGAGCCCACACGGCAGGGACACAGGCTCAGCGGACGGACCCTTCCCTGCGTGCAGGTGTCAGCTGCCTCACTGCACAGACAAGGGCAGCTGTCACGTGAGCTGGGTCTGGAGGGAGGAGGCGGAAGGAGCCACCCGTGGGCCGAGGAGGAGCGGTTCGTCGGAAACCCAGAGCCGGGTCAGAAACGACATTCCCAGAGGAAGCGTTAACAAAGCAGAAAGAACGTGTTTATTAGGCACCTTGTTCCTCACGGAGGAGCAAGGCCCGGGGCAGAGCCTGTGAAATCTCTCGAGGTTGCAGGAATCTCTCCAAAGACTCAGAGAATGCAGGTGCTGCGAGGCCACCCCCCAAGAACACTATTTGGCTGGAGCGTGACCCCTGGAGGGACCCTGGCATGAAGCCGGCGGTGGCTCCTCAACTCCACAAACACTGAGGAGTGGGCAGGGGCACCTGGGACACCACGAAACCCTGGCCACCAGGCAGGGCTCACGGCTGAGGCACAAGCTGCCCTGAGCCATGAGGGGCACGGGGAGCAGGAGGGCCTGGAGGCCCCGGGCTGTCCCTGGCCCAGACCAGGCCCCCAGGGCCCTCCCCGCACCGGCCCGCCGCCTCCTGGCGCCGAATCAGTCCCACACGTAGGGGTTTCTAAAGACCTGAGAGTTCTTGTCGTCTTTCGGGGCCGTGGCCGCCTGGTGGCTCTGCGCCGCGTACATGTCTTCAGCCCGCAGGGTGGAGTTGGCACTGCCCATCACCTGGCTGTTGGCGGTGGCCCGTGGGAGGATGACGTCGTAGGGTCCCTCCGCCTGGAAGGAAGAGCAGGAGGTCTCAGCCAGGCTCCGCCAGCGCAGATGCACAAACACGCGGCTTCCTGCAGGCGGGGCCTGCCGGCTCCCTTCCCCACCCCCAGCCAGGCCCCAGCGGCCCACCTCTGACCTCCAGCCCCTTATCTCACTCTGCAGAGGGCCCGGCCTCTGGGCCCGGGGCTCCGCTCGGCTGCCCCTCAGACCTTGACCCAGTGGAGGGTGAACATGCTGGGCGGCCGTCACCTGTCTGGAGCTCCCAGCCTCCGGTCCTCTAAGACTCTTACCCAAGTCTCCCCATTGGCCCTCCAACCCCCAACAGCATTATAGTTGCTGGTGTGCCAGGCCCTGGCCGTGCCCACATATTTCTCCTCTAGAAGTCTGGGCTGACCTGCCTGATTGGAGGCTTAAATCCCAAATGCTTTTGGGTGTATTTTAAGTCTTGGAGACCTCAGACCCAAATTAGCTGCCTGGAACCTGGTTCGAGCTACAGCGGTCCTGTCCTTGGCTGAGGGTGCAGAGGGTCCTGGGTGCCCCAGCTCCGGGCAGCTCCAGGGCCCCAAGTTGCCCACCTGGTGGTCTCCAGCTCCCCATCCCCTAGTACAGTGGTCGGCAACCCTAGTACAACTGCGGCTCGCGAGCCACACGCGGCTCTTTGGCCCCTCGAGTGTGGCCACTAAGTTTCAATCGCACGTGGTATTTTGTGGAAGAGCCACACTCAAGAGGCCGCAGTTTGCCGACCGCTGCCCTGGGAGCTCCTGGAACATCCCCGTGGGTGTTCTCAAACCCGGGTGCGCATCAGAATCACCTGGGCTGTTGAAACCTCACCCACACCTGGTGGTGGGTGCGTGGCCGGCAAATGTTTAACAACCGAGGTGGGCGGGAAGGGAGGAAGCCCTGATGAGTAGGGTTTGCAGATTTCTACAGGTGGCTACTCCCATCATGCATCAGGGTGATGTCACTGAGGAGATGCTAACCACTGGATTCACCACAGCACTGGCCCCACGCAATTGCATTTTTAGTAAGATCCCAGGTGCTGGTGAAGCCACAGAAAGGAGGGATGTCAGCAGGGTCAGGCGTAGGGAGACCAAAGGGCTGGGTTGGGAGTTTCGGAGCTGGCTTCACCCAGGCTCCCAGCGGGAGGGGTGAGAACGCCACCCTGCTGACCTCCCTCCTTCCTGTTCCCAGCCTCCTGCCAAGGCGGGTCGCTGACCTCTCCCGCGCAGTCTGCCAGCCGGGAGCAGGAACATATATGGAGTGAGTGAATCTGTTCCCACCCCCTCCCAGGGCTCAGGGAGCATCTGGTTTCCAGGACCCAGGGGAGGTGTGAGGCTGAGAGCAGCTGCCTGCGGCGGGGGAGGGGCCTCCCCAGAGACAGCTGTGGTGGGAGTGTAAACACCTACCCAGGCTTGGTCCCCTGTCCCCTGGAGTCACCAAGCATGACCCCCGCTGGCCGAGGCCCTCCTCTGTTCAGTGTGTGACACCCCAATGCACGGGCCGGGCAGGTGCCATCGCAATAAAACTGAAGGCGGTGGATGCACTGACTCCAGGAAAAGGCACCAGGAGCCGGAGCTCTGGGTTCCCCGAGGCTGAGGCACCAAGAGAGACACCTGCCTTCTCCCCACCCCCTGCACCTCACCCACCCCACATGGCCGCACGGCCCTCTGCCCGCCCACAGAGGCTGGGCTCCGTGGCTTTCCGCAGGGTCCTGGGGACTCGGGGACCCCACTCACCGGGCCTTTGTGCATCAGGGCCATCTCGGTGGGCTGGTACACACTGGTCAGCAGCTGCCCGTTGTACCCACTGTACGGTGACACCGGTCTCTTGCCTGCAAGGAAACAGGAGAGGTTTGAAGGCTGGGCGCTCAGCTCCCTTTCCCAACCGAGGGCCAGGCTCCCGGGGGCGGGGAGAGGGGCTAGGCTTCCCGGGGATAACATCTAACCCAGGAGGGAGCCTGGCCGGGGGCGGCCAGCTTGGGGGTGAGGCTGTGGGTGTGGGGGCCCCTCCGGAACCCAACACCCCTTTGTTCGGATGCGCAGGAGCCATGAGGCTGCTTGCCTTCCCCTCGGCCTTTCCGGCAGTGTGGGGACCCCCCCCCTTCCTGGTCAGTTCAGAAAACAGCTCCTGTCAGCAACCTTCACATCCCCATCGCCATCTGCCTCCAGGGCCAGAGGACACCAGGGCACACAGGCCTTCGGCCGCCTTCCGAGATGGCCAGCCTCCAGCTCGGGCCTCCGCCGCCGCCGGCCAGCTGCCAGGCGCTGGGGTAAATACAGCAGAGACCCCACAGCCCCCGACTCCGGAGCTGGGAACCGACTCCCCGTGACCCACGGCCCAGAGCCCCCCAGGGGGACCGCACGCACATCCTGTCCCTCGGCCCCTGGGCCCGGCTCCAGGACTATTTTCAGCGGCAGGAACACTTCCCCCAGCCTCCCGCGGGGAGCTGGCTTCCGACCTGTTCCACCCGCTGGGCGCCGTCAGGTGTTTCAGGAAACCTGCTGACCAGCCCGGGCCCAAGACGGGCTGGGCCCGGAGGCCGGCCCCGCGGAGGGCTGTCTGTCCGCTGCAGGCCGACGGCCCTGCAGCTCCGAGGGACCACAGCCACATCGCGCTTCTAAGCGCCGGGCTCACGCGATGATTGATTTTTCCATTTGGAGAAAAAAAATAAATAACTACAGGGAAAGAAGCCCTCACAGCCCCAGCTGTTTGCCCTGAGAGGACAAAGGCTGGGAGCGTTTGGCCCCGACAAACACACGGGCTGAGAAAGCGCGAGGTGCACGCCTAGGACACACCGAGAAAGGCACAGCGCCTGGCTCCCGGCAGGTGCTCCATAAAGGCTCGTGGTCCTCCCCGGGTACGAACGATAGAGAGGACTCCTTGCGGGAGCTGGGAGCTCCCTGGCCAGGTCTCCTGCACCGCCCGGCACCCGGACCACCCAGAGCTGGGCTCTGCCAGGAAAGCCTGTCCCATTAACGGAGCCTGGGCAGGAGCTCGGGGAGCAGCCGCGGGACAGGGTGGCTGCTTTAGCCTGGATGGGGCATGAGTGCTTTTATCAAAAAGGGAAAGATCAACTGACAAGACTTTTAAAGGGAACCAGGATGACCAGGGGGCGGTACGTAATAGGAAAACCAGTTCCGGAAGGACAATGACGATCAGAATAAAGTAACAGTAACACGCCCAGCTGACGGCCCGTGCTCCCAGGGCACCTTCCCGCACATTAACGAGTCCTCATCAGAATCCTCTGGAGCAGGATCTGTATCATCCCCATTTTACAGACGAGGAAACTGAGGCACGTGCAGCTAAAATACCAATCGACAGTCAGCTCTGGGGATGCACAGGAAGGAACTGGGGGGAAACAGTTGGGAGAAATTTTGTCTCTCTGTCATGTTTGAGATTTTTATGTTGAAAATATATTCGTGAGTTACACTGACTATAGTAAAAAAAAACACACATTTTTTTTTAAGAAATGGAACGAAGGGAGCTTAAGGCAGAACACCACGGGTAAACCTCAGGGACCTGGCTCCAGACCAGCCCCCAGTCCTGCAGTGAACGACGTGGAGGAAAAAGGACCTACCCGAGGCTGGCTCATCCATGGAAAACGCCTTGTTCTCCACAAACATGCTCTGGCCCTTCTGCTCTTTCAGGATGGTCTCGTAGCCCACGCCCCGGGTGGGGTACAGGTCCCCCTGGTAGCTCTGCTCCGGGCTGGCCTTGGTCACCTGGGACACCTCAGGGATGACGTAGAAGAGGACAAAGGCCCAGGCGTTGGCGGCCAGGGCGATGGCCAGCGTGGGGTCGTCCCAGGCGGGCCTGTTGCGCTGCCGGTTGCCGTAGGTGTACATGATGATCCACACCACCCAGATGGCGATGGAGGTGGCCGTGGTGAGCAGCACGAAGAACCCGTGCTTCCGCCAGCGCTTGAAGCGGCCGCACAGGGCGGGCCAGGCCCCCGTGAAGGCGCCCAGCAGTAGCAGCATGACGTAGATGAGCGCCATGACGAAGTCCATGTTGGCGATGTCGCAGGGGGAGGCCGCGGCCCCGCCCGCGCTGCCGTTGCCCAGGGCGCCGTCCTCGCCCACCGCCCGGACCAGCGTAATGATCAGCCACTCGGTGTTGATGATCACCTCCACCAGGGTCAGCAGCAGGGCCACGGCGAACAGCACCCAGCCCCGCGGGCCCTGGTTCTTCCGGGCCAGGAAGTTGAGGGCAAAGACGTGGGCCACCAGGCAGGAGAAGCAGACGGCGAACAGGACCCCGAAGAGGAAGCGCCGGGAGGCGCAGGTGGAGAAGTCGGGCTTCACCACGCAGGCGAACACGAGGCAGAAGAGGCCCAGCGTCCCCAGCAGGAAGAACACCTGGGTCCCCAACAGGCTGCGCTTCTTGGTGTCCTGCACGAAGGGCAGGCTGGCCACCAGGACGATGGTGAGGACAAAGGTGGTGACCACGCCCGCCCCGGCCACGGCCTCCAAGACGATGCCCCAGGCCCCAGAGCGGTCACACAGGTTATAGTAGAGGGGGTTGAGGTCGGGGCTGCAGCCGGGCGGGGCTCGGTTCTGGGCCTGCACCCCAGGGACCGGGAAGAGCAGCAGTCCCAGGCATGTCAGCAAGGCTCTGTGGGTGGCCATCCTGGCTCCCAGGCCAGGCTCCCGCGGGGTCCCTAAAGACGGAGGGAGAAAAGACACAATCAGTCCTCCCCAAAGTCAGACGCTGACATGGGTGCCGCTTCCCGGAGCCTGAACCAGGGCGGACGGTGCACGCTGACCAGGAGACTGTCCCCTGGGCTTCAGAATGCTTCTTAACACAGAACTCCTGGAAGGCCTGCCAACCGACCAGAGAGGCAAATGAGATGAAGCCCATTTGTCATTCCTATTCAGGGAAGAGGAAGGAATTGTCATTGCATTTTCAGGTCCCACCCCCATAATGTGGATCTAAATATTCCCTGAGTTCTTACAGCCTGGGGGGGGGGGGGGGGGCGGGGCGGGGTTTATGAGCAAGTCAAAACCAAGCATGCCACCCATTCAGCACTTCCTCTCTTGCTCTAGGACTCCCAGCATTCAGTAGACCAGATACCATGGCCCTGAACGCTGTCTATGGGATGCCGGAGTCCATGGTGAATCAGCCTAAGTTCACTGAGTCCATCATTCATTCATTCAAGTATTTCACAAGCCCCTGTGACAGGCATAACTTGCAGCCAGAAAAAAGGAAGAGAATAAAAAAAAAAAAATGAAGAGAGTTGAAAGTTGTACTTATCAGCACTTCCCCCTGACCCCTCCCTCCCACTTCCCTTTTCTGCCCTTCACGCTCCCACTTTTAGTGCCAAAGCCTCTCTTCAGAATCCAAAGTTCTCTGTGTAGCTCAAATGCATAAGCGTCAGGATTAAGTAATTTCCCAGCGAGGGAGTTAATGACTTAATGCGAAACGTCTCCTACGAGGCGCTCACATTTTAAAAGCAAGAACCAGGCAAGGGCAATGCAGAACCCAAAGGAATGAATCTATAATGGAAAACGCGAAAACACTGCCGCTGAAAGCAAGAAAAATGTCTTTTATTCACACCAGGAAGCGAACTTATTATTCTAGCCGCTCATTCGCCCATTCGGGCTGCAGCTTTACCAAAGGAAGCCACGCTCCTGCTCTCAATGGCAAGTGGACGTTCCCTGTATGAGGCGGAAGTACAGAATGTGGAGGTTAAGGGAAATACAAGACCAAATCAATGAGTTTCCCAACCAAAGGCTTTACATGTACTTGGGGAACAGAAAATGTAAATACTCTAAAACGTAAATTGTAAATTCCGAAATTCTATGCAACGCAGGTGCTCCACATTTAAAGGTATTCTATGCTCAAATACTAGCGATAACCCTCCCTCTTCCTCGCACCCCTTGGGCCCAGGAACTCGCCAGAAAGACAGCAACCGAGCTTTCCTGGCTGACAGTGACCACTAGTGGCTGGCAGGGGAATGGCATGATCCAACTCTAGCCTCCCCACCACCTCTCTTCCCATTTTGGGGGTGGAGGGAAGAGGGAGAGGGAGGAGGTTTAGTCCCTTATGTTTTCACCATTCCTGGTTCCTTAATTTCTAAAAGGAAACAAAGGATCCTAAATCTCAGTCAATATAAATCGTCTCTCCACAATTACGTGGAAGGGCACTGCTACTGTCGGGAAGAAGAAAATTCATAAATTAAGTGAAACTGACATAATCAAGATCACCCATCTGCAACAACCGTTAGGCTATCCCACGTGCCCCTTAAAGATATTTTAGGGATCTCCGCCTTCTCAGCTACCTCCTCGTCGTTCAATTAAGCTTGCTTTTCCCATTAATTCTTTTTTTTTTTTTTTTTTTTTTTGGTTTTTTACAGAGAGGAAGGGAGAGAGATAGAGAGTTAGAAACATCGATGAGAGAGAAACATTGATCAGCTGCCTCCTGCACATCTCCCACTGGGGATGTGCCCGCAACCCAGGTACATGCCCTTGACCGGAATCAAACCTGGGACCCTTCAGTCCTCAGGCCGACGCTCTATCCACTGAGCCAAACCGGTTTCGGCCCATTAATTCTTTTTTAATTAAATTATTTTTCAATTACAGTCAACATACAACATTGCTAGTTGCAGGTGCACAACATAGCAATTAGGCATTTAAACACCTTACGAAGTGACCACCCATCCACTGGTAATAAATTAACATTCTGTGTGAATTTTTCTATCGTTTTTTTTTGTTTGTTTGTTTTTCCTAAATAACTGGCACTTCTCCTGGCTTCCAATGTAAAAGCAGGTTTCCCTATGTCGTGACTTAAATAATCTTTTGCCGGAGACTGTGTGTAATCGTAGATCAAGAAGCACACGCTGTATTTACAAGTGTGGGACCGAGAAGGGAGTCGGGAAGGGCTGAGGGGTAAGGAGAAACGCTGAACCGCTCCAGGAGGGACTTTACGGTGTCTTGCTACACTACAGGATCCTAAGCACTCGGTCCGTCTTGGGCATCTCTGGCTCACAGAGAGGCAGCCAGAGATTGGGGTGAAGTTGGGAGATGAGGAACCGCACCCTGAGAATGGCCACCCAGACTTAGCCTCCAGGAATCTGCACATCTTCAAGGGCTTCTCATTCATCCCACCCGCCTCTTCCTGGGTTGCGGACTCGATGCCCAGTAGGGGGCGTGCAGGAGGCAGCCGATCAATGATTCTCTCTCATCATTGATGTTTCTATCTCTCTCTCCCTCTTCCTTCCTCTCTGAAATCAATAAGGAAATACATTTTTTTTTTTAAATCTATCAGGAGAGATAAGATAGATCTACAAGAAAATTACACAGTGAGGAATAAGGTAAGCGCCACACAGCAGACGTGGCCTCTGGGGGAGAGAAGGCACGACCGAAACACAGAGCAGGAAGCTCCTCCAGCCCAGGGGGTCAGAAAAGGCAGAACGGGACCTTCCATCAAGCTCCCCATGCGTGAAATGCCACAGGGAAGGGGTTTGGAGCATTATTCTAACGGCAGGGGGGAGCCACGGAAGGCTGTTCTGTTGCCTGATGGCGGCATAACCAGGGTTGTGCTTTGAGATTTGAGTCTGGCACACGGCACAGACAAGCGATTTGCTGAGGACACATTCATCCGGCTGCAAGATCCAGACCCAAGGTAAGCCGGAATGGGCCGATCCGAGAGATCCTTTCCACCATAAGATCCCAGGCCTGGGTGGACGTGGGAGGAAGGATGCTAAGCCTATGCCACCAGTTCAAGTCTGACAACAGCCACATCTCTATGAAAACACCACACCAAGCCTCACTTAGCCCTGCGACCCTTACAGGCCACTCCTCCTCGATCCATCCTGCTCTTCGATCCTTACTGCCTGTACCCCTGGGCCAGGGCCATCCCTGCAAGTCTCCTGTGGGTGGCCCCAACAAGGGGATTTCCAAGGAAGGAAACAGGAATGCGCCCCTCCTCCCCATCCAGTTAACAGGAGGCCTTGAAACTTGCCATCCCCAGAGGCAACACATCTTCCCGCCCTGATGGGTCTCCTGTCTCCCACTCCCTGGCAAAAGCAAGGGCGAGAGGGGAGACAAGAACACACTGACTCAGGTGGGGAAATTGGGCAGGGTGGACCCAGCTCTTGTCCACTGCCCACGACAGCGACCCCTGGAAGCCAGCAGGAGACTTGGTGACGGTAACTCAGAAAAGTCTGACCTCCAGGAGTGCAGACTGAGCCAGTCAGCGGGTGCCACCTTTAAGATGGTGAAGGGGGAACGGACTTCAATGAAACGGACCCAGCTCTGCCTGGAGACTCTCCCTCCCATGGGTCCCTAGAGCCTGCTCTGCGAGGCTGGGCCTTCTGAGACCTGAGTGTGAGAATCGTGTGTGCTCGTGTCTCCCCTACCAGGCTCCGAGGTCTGAGGGTCGCGAGCAAGACACACTGAACGCCCTGCCTTGGACACGGCGGGCACTTGAAAATTACTCACTGGACGGACTCTGCCCACTTCCCTGCCAGCCCTGCCTCCTTCCTTTCAGGGTCACACCTTCTGCTTCACGGTTCTTGGTGGGACCCAGGAGGGGACCCTCCTTCTGCTCCCCGAGTTTCCCCCACATCTCGGCTGCAACCCGGCCCCAGCCTCCGATAGATTCTTTCCTGGACCAAAGGGCCCCTTTGCGTCATGCGCTCCCTGCCATCAGCCACACAAGTATCTTTAATCACCTCTGAAACCAGCCTCTCCCCAGGCTCAGCCATTCCGCCCAACCCAGTTCCAGAATCCCCTTCTGCCCGCTCTCCCCCTTGGGGGAGCAGTGAGGCCTCGGGGGGGCCAGTGGGTTCAGGGCCCAGCCAGCCCCGACTGGCTTCGCCCAGCAAGGATGCGACGCCTTCCCCCTTTTCCAGCAGCCAATTTCCTCCCCTTCGCCCTCAATTCACAAAAAGGCCTGAAAGCCACCCCCAAAAGAGCACCCCATGCTTCACGTCCTGCGCCCATCGGTCTCCCAGGCTCAGGAGTAACAGAGATACAGACCGAGGCCAGGTTACCTCCCAAGAGGGCCGTGACCCTTAGAGCGCCTCCCGGAGGCACCAGGCTCCCCCAGGAGTGACCCTGAGCATCCTCCTTCCTCCCCGGGCCTGCCGCCACTCAGCAGCCCTCAGGAGAGATGGATGGATCCACTGACCGCCCTCCCGCCTCCTCCCCTTCTCCCATCCATCTCCTTCCTCTCGGGTGCCTGGAAGGAGCTACCTCAGTGTCCAGGTGTGTCAGTGTGTTGGGGGGGAGGGAGGATTTTGGGGGGTTTCCTGGAACCCCAGCCTAGACCTCCACACGGGTGCGCATTTGGGCCAAAATTCCAGAGCATTCTAAACCTGGACGTCCCCCATCCAAAGGTCTGCTCTGGAACTGTCACTCTGGAATGCGCCCCACCCCTGCTTCCCCCCACCCCCACCCCCCAATCACCCCCCAGACACACATTAAGGCTCAAGGAGGTGGGGGATGGCCTCCAGGAGCAAACACCCTGCTTTAGGGTCAACACTGTGGAATTCTTGAGCGACGGGGTTTTCCTGGGTGGAAAACTGCCGGCCTGGGGCTGGAGGGGCGCTACTCCACCTCGGAGGCTGAAAGGGCCCTGGAAAAGCCATCGAGGGTGGGGGGAGGGAAGGGGTCTAGAAGCCACGCTGCCAGAAGTCGAGGCTCTGGGATCGTCTGAAATCCCAAACTTCGCGCAGCAAGACTGAGTGCTCCCCTCTTCACTCCCCCCCCCCCCATGGGGCCCGCAGCGACGCTCCCCTGAACCCCGGAGCAGAAGGAGCCGGGCAGCCGGGCTCTCCCCATTTTCTCTGGCCTCCGAAACCTGCCCTCCCGTGCGCCGCAGCGGGCAGCGGAAAGGACACCCGCCCACAAGCCGCTGTGGACTGCAGCCTCGCGGAGGGAGTGGGGCTGGAGGGGGCACACCTTGGAGAGCCTAACTGTGGAGCTCTCCCCGCCGCCTCCCGCTCGGAGCCGCGCAGGGTTCCCCGCCCCCAGTCCCGAGCAGGTTTGGAAAGTTTCTGCGACCCAGCGGGGCTGGAGCGGCGTCCTCCGCCCCCGGTTCTCTGCCCCCGTCCACTCCCCGCCGGCCCAACCCGACTCTTCCGGGCGGCCGAGGGGAGGGGAGGGCAGAGAAGGCAGCAGCCCTTACCTGGGACGCGCCGCCGGGCCGGCTCCGGCGCGGGGTTTGGGGCCAACTCCAGCCCCGGGCGAGGCGCGGGCGGAGGTGGGAGGGACGCGGTGCAGGGCGCGGGGCCAGGCCCAGCCCTGGCGGAGGGTGCCGGGGCCGGGGCGGGAGCTCGGGGCTCGGGGGCCTGCCTCTCCCGGACTGGGGCTGTGCTGGCCGAGCTCGGTCGCTCGCTCTCACGCCGGCCTCTCCCGGGGCTCGGCTCCTTTCTCTCGGCGAGGGTGGGCCGGCGCCGGCACTACCGTGACATCACCTCCATCCAGGCGCTTATCGGGCGAGCGCGGCCCCAGGTATGTGCAATCGGTTTACACTGTAACAAAGCCCGCCCAGCCCTCCCCCAGCGGCTCACCTCCAGGCTCCGGCGAGTCGCACTTCCCGGCCCGGGAGGGAGGTCGGAGTTTCGGGCCGAGCCGGCCAGTGGGTTGTTGCTGTTGACCGCCACGCCCCCCGCTCGCGGGCGCGCGCACACTCGCGCGCACTCAGTTTCTGGACTCGGCGCTTTCTCTCCAGAAAGCGATCTGGGGTGCAGCCCGGCGCACCTCGCGAGCGGCCTCTCCCTCCCCGCGGTATCAGCGCGCGTTCCCAGACACGTCCTGGGGCCACCCCGGGGCGTCTCTCCGTGGTGGACACCTAGCCTTGGTCACCTTCGTCCTGGGTCTCCCGTGAGATCCTCGCCAGACACAGCTCGCCGCTGCGGGCCGGAGCGAGCCGCACACTCAGACACAGAGTCCGCCTTTTCACGCCTCTGTGCCCCCTCCCCTCCCCGAGCCTGCACACGTGGACACACCGCGCCGAGCGTCCGCCTCCTGCGTGCGCGGCTCTTCCCCGGCACCTGGGCCACCAATGTGCGTGGGAACACCACTGCGCGCGCCCCTCAGGCAGTGGGCCGAGCTCAGAACCACTCGGGACCGTGAGCAAACTTCGCCCCAAACCCCAACTAACCCGCGCCTGGGTTTCCAGGGACCCGCCCAGACTCGGGCCAACTCTGAGCGCGCTCCTCTCCCCGCGTCCCCGCTCCCTGTGCCGACTTGTCCTCATGAGCCTTCGGCTTCGGCTCCCCTCGGTGCCGCGTTTAACCTGGCCCGGGAGGACTCGGCCCTCACTCCCCGTCCTGCCCTTCCCATCGCCCGGGGACTTTTCCACGAGTTCGGGTACCCTCGGCCCTCTCCACGCCCCACCTCCACGCCCTGCTCCGGGTAGGATCAGCGGGCGGCCACCCTTTCCCCTCCAGGAACCCGGAGAAAGGGAGCCGCGGAATTGAGGAAGCGAATCCAGGCTGGGCCCTCCCCGGCCCAGTAAACAAGAGATTTTGCGGCCGCCTGCCTTCCCCCGAGGCTGCGGGCTCCGCGCGAGGGGGGCTGAGCGGTCCCGGGCGCCCAGCGGGGCCTAGTTAGCGCGCGCGGGAGGCCCGGCGGGGCCGCGGCGCACCGGGAAGGGAGAGGTGGTTGGGCCTGGCCGGGGCCCCGGGGACACGGAGGGGGGGCAGGGCGCTGGGTCTCCCGGGTGCTGGGTCTCGTGATGCTAGTTGCCTGGGGGATCGCCCGAGGCGCGCGGTCGGAGCCTGCCGGTGGCGGGGCGTGTTTGCTCTGCCTGGAGCGCCCGGGGAGGAGGGGAGAGGGTGGAGGAAGGGCGGGGGGGGGGGGTGCGGAGGGGGGAGAGCGCAGCGGGGAGGAGGGGTGGCAGCTGGTCTCGGGCTACGGGGTGGCCAGGTGGGGGAGGGGAACCTCTCCGGCTGTTTGTTTGCGAGCCTCAATCTATGACAACCAGGAGTCTAACTCCGTGAATCACCCCGAGCCGCCGAGCGATAAACCTCCGGCCGCGCCTCAATTCGCGCGCACCGCCGTTTCGGGCTCAGCGGCAGGAGCTGGCGGCGGGGCCCAGGTTTCCTAGAGCCCTGTCTCCCTTCCTGTGCCTGGTCCTCGCAGGCTGGGCTGGGAGATGAGGGAATTCTTTCAGTTCTTTGAAATATGAAGCGGAAGAGCGCAATTCCCTGCCTTAACTCCACCCTCATCCCACGCAGGGCCCAGGCAGCTGGGTGCCCACCGTGAAACGGGGAGCAGCCGGTCGGACCGAGAGCCACGGGCCCAGGGCTGCAGCTGCTTTAGGCTACTGATGCCCAAGTCAGTGGCTGGGAGGGGCCGCTCATTAACATAGGTGACCAGCCAATTCACAGAGGCGGGAAGTGTGTGGGGGAAGGGAGATGGGGAGATGGGGAGGGGTCTCAGAGACCTCGGGGAGACACCGGTGGATTGTGGCTCCCTCTCAGTGTGCTCTCAAGCTTTGAGAAGGAACCCCTTCACCCTACAGAGACCCCGCCCAAGAAGCAAGTCGCCCCTACATCTAGGCCCAGGCAGGGGGAAGGCTGGGGTACCGGGTGCCTGGCCACTCGCTGGGAGTCATCTGGACCGAGGCCAGGCCACAGCCGCTGAGCTGTCTGCAGCCAGCCTGTGCCTGTGCCTGTGCCTGTGCCTGTGCCTGTGCCTGTGCCTGTGCGGTGACAGCGGGGCAAATGTAGGGCAGTTTTCTGAGAATTGTTTGCTTGTTTCCTTTTCTCCGGCCTCGCTCTGGAACAGGACCTGCCTTCAAAACCAAGCACGGCCCTCGGGGCAGATGGCCTGGGCCCCAGGATCCCTGGTGCCCTGGGGCCCTGTGCTAGGAGAGGTGGGAGGCCTGGAGGTGGAGGTGTGGGGAGCCTCACCCCACCCCACCCCTGTGAGTCAGAGGCCGTGGGTGCTGCTGGCCACTGGGGGCCTGGAGTGGCTAAAAGGGGCGATCTGTGGGCGGTGCTTTTGCTTTCTAAGGCTCCAGCTGTAGGCTCATCTGTGCCCCCAAATGCCCTTCACCCAGTATAACAACCCATAGGCATCGACAAGCTTTATAAACTCCCATTTGCACTAAAAATAACCTTTGAAGAGCGGTCCCCTAGGGCTACTGCCCACTCACTGTTCAGAGGGATCCCGGATGGATGCATCCTGGAGGGGTGGCAGGCTCCCTCCTGCCCTGACGTGGTGCTGGAGCTCCCGCGGGCCCATTGAAACTACCTTCTTCTGGGACCTGGAACAGTAAGGTACTGACCAGGCCCAGGGTTCAAGAGCAGCTCTGCCAGCTGTGGGACTGGGCAAGTCACTCTCTCTGAGCCCCACTTTCCTCTACCGGAAAACTGGTCTGACACCACCTCCACATCTTGCTGTGAAGTCCACATGGAGCTGAGTCTAGAATGTTCCTCACACAGCCAGGCACTTCCAGAAGCTCCGTGGTCAGCCTCTCTGTAGTCCGTCCCCTCTGAGGCTTAGTCCTGTCAGTTTTAGAAGCTGCTTCTCCAACATTCTTCTGATTCTGTTTGACTAACATCAGAATAGCCTTCGCCCGTGCTGTTCCTTCTACTGCCAACATCCTTGCCCTCCCACCCCCCAACATTCCTTGGGCCCAAATTTTAAAAATATGTCCTGTCTCCAAGCTCAGCCTCAGTGGCCCTCCTCTGCGAAGCTGTCTTCACCTTCCCCAGAAAGAACCCTGTTTCCCAGGGCCTGTTATGCATTTGTTTATTGATCATTGATCCTAGTGTATCTCCTTTATTTTTTTTTATTATTATTATTGATTTGAGAGAGAGAGGAAGGGAGAGGGAGAGAGAGAGAAACATCAATGTGAGAAAGAAACACCGATCTGTTGCCTCCTGTATCTCCTGTACATGCCCCGGCCCTGGATCGAACCCGAAGCCTGGGTGTGTGCCCTGAGCCAGAATCAAACCCCCGAACCTTTGATGCACAAGACGACACTCCAACCAGCTGAGCCTCAGCGGCCCGGGGAACCTAGTGTATCTCAATCAGCCTTCTAAATGACGGGCTCCCAGTTACACTGTGCCCTGCTCAAGGGGCATGCCTCACGTCTTGTTGTGCCTGGCATCTGGCCCAGAGCCCGGCACGTGGCAGACCCATTACTCTGTGGTCCAAACAATGGCAGCAAGAGGTGCGACAGCCCCTGGAGGGCAGCCCACTGCTGACCTCCCCCTCACACCAGGGGCCTTGCACACCGTGCAGCACCTGCCTGCACCTGCCCTGCCCAGCGGTACCAGGCCTCCCTGGGACGCAGACAAGCCCCGGTGCCTGCTAGAGAAGCCGGCCTCCCTGCACCCACAGAGCCCTGGGTGCAGGGTCCAGAGTCGGGGCCTTGCTCGGCCCCTGGAGGAGCCTGCCTGGAGTGCGGTTGGCTCCCTAGAGGGACTTCCCTTTTGCCTGGGTGGCAGGAGTCCTGGAGTGCCGTTCCAGCTGGCAGAACCTTCCGGGAGCCGTTTCCTCCCCCGGGGAGCAGGAGGCCCACTTCCCAGGGGTGGAGCGCCCAGGGCTGGCATTCTGGGCCCCGTGGAGTGAAAATAGTTCCTGCTGAGCGGAGGGCGGGGCTTGGCTCCCTGACCCGTAGGTGCCTGGAACCCTGTGTGGTAAACAGTTTGCATTTGCCCTTTGCTTGCCCCGGCCCTGGTATTAACCGGTGACTGCCCAGGGTGCAGTGCCTGGCCGTGTGTCCCTTTCTCTTGGGCTCAGGGCACTGCCTGCTTGGAGCAGCAGGTGCCACCTGGCTTTGTGAGAGGACCCAGGTACCCAGGTGGCCCCTTAAGAGGCAGGAAGCCAAGGGGCAGGGGCCGGGTGAGTGAAAACGCTCGTTCATACAACTGGCTGCCCATGGCTGATCCTCTGGAAGTGTACCCGGAAGTGGGCCTGCAGTGGAGCCTGCTGGAATGTCACCTGATGCGGAGCCCATCCGCCCCGCCCCCGCCCATCCATGGCTCAGTGGCCACTGACCAACCTCCTGTGGAAGAAGAGGCTGGGCCTCCCGAGCTGCCCAGGCCTGGACAGCTGCCACCCACCGGCGGAGTGAGTCTAGGAGCCAGGGTCAAAGCTGAGGGTCCAGGATGTGGGCCTCTCAACCCCTCATCCCTTCCCCAAAAACATGCAAACAGGCTGTGTGTAGGCCCCCCACTTTCTGGTACAGTGTTACCCCAGATCTGAGAACATTGCAGGGTGGGTTTGCCGTCTCCCTCACCTCCAGTCACCCTGCAAACCCCCACGCATTGTGGGACATTTCTGACTTCCCCCGGCTCTCTGCTCACAACACCTTCACTGGCTCCCACTGCCTGTAACTGAAACGGCCACACTCCCTGGCCCGGCATTCGAGGCCTCTGCAGCCCGCACTCCACCTGGGCTCAGCCCCACCTCTCTCCTCTTCCCCACAGGACGTGGCCACTCCAGCCCCAGGTCAGCTCTGAGTCAGGCCACCGCACTGGCCTTCCTGTGGCTTCACTCATGTTGCCCCACTTTCCCCCGCTTTCAGCCTCTTGTAATCAGTCCCCCTTTAAAACGCTTTGCTCTTCCCAGAAGCTTTTGCGGGTGACCCCACCCCACAGCCCTCCATCGCCCTCTGCCCTCCCAGAGCCCCCGCCAGCACTGCCTCGCACATAGGTATCTGCCCGCTTACCTCTGTGGCAGGCTCAGTGGAGAACAGACTGGATGTTATGCGTACCCTTCCTGGCAGCCCATATGATAGCGCTGTATGCAAGGAAAGTGGGCAGTCCGGCCGGTGTGGCTCAGTGGTTGAGCGTTGACCCAGGAACCAAGAGATCTCAGTTCGATTCCGGGTCAGGGCA